CTAATTCTTGCAATTACTCAATTAATTTACTTCAGTGAACAAACCACACTGAAATGATGCCATGGATACAATAGTCTTTTGGCATATAACCCCCCTTTTCGGTGAGAGAATTTGATTCATAAATTACAGTCCCTTTAATATTCAATTAAATATTTATCAATAATATCCATAGGACACTAGTTCATGGATTTAATAGTAAACCACTTGCTTTACCCAGTTTCCACTTTTCCTTTAAAAAGTAGTGGTCCTTCGCAGCTATCGAAAATTAGCATCAATTTAAATGAATTACAGGAGTCAATTTTTCCCACAAACCCCGCCCCGACCCTGAACCTACAGATGGTAAAGACCCAGATGCAGGGAGGAAGGGGGGGGGGGACCCGACAAGACTATCAACCAAAACGGGGCAGCCTCGGGGCTTCCGGGGAGCAAACAACCTAGTGCGTTGCCACCAAAATTTAACGTGCAATGCCCGTGCTGCCTGCACCCACTTAGTCAGCAAAAAACTGGGTAACCGAGCCACAACAAGCAACAAAACTCACAGGACCCTGGGCCGAAGGTGTCACCAACCCCACAGGCAGCTGACGGAGGCAAAATAGAGAGTGTCACCCCTGAGACAAGGGGACAGAGCAACCCTAAAACTCGCACAAAGCGAGGGAAGGACTCCGGGGCAACATCCATCGGGCCCACGCTTCCCCTAGGGATTTCCCAGGGTCCTGAGCATTTATTATATGAGGACTCATGCTCAGGTAATCCCAGACAGGGTACTGCTAACCAGCGCCCATGTCTACCAAACAACATTCTAAGAACTGAACCCCCGGGACGTGTACACTCATGGGGACCTAGCAGGGGGAACCACCAGAAGTCGGAAGAGAATCCAGTACAAAGGGGGCAAGAATCAAAGGCAGGGTCCCCCCACCAGGTAGACAAACAAAAAGGAAAAAGAAAACCCCCGCAAGAGGACAGTGTACCCAGGAGGAACAGAGCTGGCCGCTATGATTGGTGAAAACAAGCTGTGCAGTACCCTGCGCCCCTACCAGTGCAAACTGCCCCTTACCCTAAGGCGAACAAGGGAGACAACACCCCATCACACAAAGGGCGTCCAAAAACCAAAAAGTAGACAGCCTAGCAGAAGCAGGACCCAAGGAACTTGTGGAAGGTAACCCCAAGCCCCAAGGGCAATACTTACAGGGCACCTAGGGAAGGTAACCCTAGGCGCATGCAGCCCGAGTACTGGAGACTCACTCCCATCTCACACACCACCTAGAAGACAGACACCACACTCTAGGCACAGTGCTGAAACAACCACTGGAGCTGGAGCACACAACCGGTGGCTTTAGCATCAGTCGAAGAACTGATGGGTGGATAGCCGGCATGAGAGGTCTGGTCGGAGAGGTTTCTCCGGCAGAGAAACACCACAGAAAGGCAAAGCACAGCCCCCAGACAGAACCCCCTGGGAAACGGTCATAACAGACCGAAAACTGAGGGACAAGGTGTGGGAGCAAGCATAACAGCCAGAGACACTGAGCCCAAACCCAAAGGCCCAGACCCAAAATAGACAAAATGGGAAACCCGGTGTAAAATCAATACTCAAACGTTCCCAGAGGAACAGGAAACAGGCAGAAAACACCAGAAAAGCAAAGAAACGACAAAAGGAGAGTAAAACCCCTGAAAAAAGGTGAAAACTCACCAAAGAAGCTCACTTGCACACCCAAGCGCATGTAAACAAACCGCAACGCCGCCCTGGTGGCGACGCTGGGAAACCGGCAGACGAAAATGACCGCCAGAACAGAGGGCTGTGACCGACACTAAAGATACGAAAACACGCCAGCAAAAGTGGGAAGCAAGCAGACTGGATGGGCGAAAAACTCTGCCCAAAAGCAGAAAACCCAGGCAGAGCAAACCACCCCAGACTGCTAGCAGGCATCCCCCACAGCCCCGGGAACCAGCAACAGAGGCCCCCGGGGCAGAGCTGTCCTCCAAGCCCTCCGCCTTTAAAGAAAAGGAAGAGCCCATGGGAAAGGCAGCAAGAAAGGGCCGCTGGTAAGACCCAGAAGCCTTGGCAGGAGAAACAGGCTCGAAAACCTCCGTCCCCCAACCCAAACAGGGCAGCCCCCGAAAACCACCCAAGTCTCGGCCCCAACTAAACCCCGCCCCGACCCCGAAACCAGCAAATGGTCCGGAGCCGGAAACAGAGAGGGAAAGGGGCGAACAGCACCTAACCAAAACGGGGCGGCCTCGGGGCATCCAAGTGGGAAACCAACCTAGCATGTTGCAACAACCTAACCTAGCTTGAAACACAGATGCCGCCTGTACTCTGAACAGTAATAACATCAGGAGAGTACTGGAAAACAAGCAGAGAAAATCTCTCGCAAGACTCCGGGTCAAGGTGTCAGTGACCCAGCAGGCAGCATGACGGATGTAAAAGTGGCGACTGTCACCCGGAGACAAGGGCACAGCAACCAACGATCCCGTACAAGATGCGTTGGAACCCGGAAGACACATTCAATGGTCCACTGAGCCCAGACAGGGGTTTCCAGGGCACGTAGGCTGACTGCTACGGGAAGCCCGGGCAAGGTGTTGCTAACCGGTTAAGAAACCCAAAAATAACAAGAGGGTAGAGGATAGCACTGACGTGTACAATCACGGGGGCCTAGCAGAGGGCTGCCAAACACTACCAGTGGAACTATAGCCACACTGGGCAGACCCCCACCAGGCAATTGAAAATAAAAACAAAAGAAAAACCCCACAAAAGTACACCGTCTTCAGAGGCAACAGGAACCGGTCGCTGCTTAGGTGGCAGGCCGCGCAACACCTTGACGCCCTAACCAGGACAATACCAATCCCTACCCAGGGCCAAACAAGTGCCCCAAGCCCGAGACAAATGCCGAGCAGCTAGAACCTCTACGGGAATGGTTCCTGAACGCCCCAGGGAAGATAACCCTGTTACGCAAGGGCAGTACTCACAGGGCGCTTAGGGAAGTCAGCCACTAAGCGCATGCAGCCCCGGCACTGATGAGGTACTGTACTCCTGGCCACCGCACAACACAACACACAGCAGTGAACGCCACATAAGGCAAACACCACCTAGGAAACTGAGGCCAGAGAAGCGTCTATCCCGGTTGACATTAGCTTACGAAATGAAGCTTGGCAGCCGGCGCAGTAGGTCCGGGGCTCCCCCCTCCCCCCTCTCGGGGCGGGGAGGGCTGCGCGGACGATCAGCGTGGCAGTAAAGTGTGATGTTTGCTTGTTTGCTTGTTTCCTTGGGATTGTAGGGAGTTTCTACCTCTCTGTTCGGTTTTTTGTTTTAGTTTTTTACCATGTGGGGTTTGTTTTGTCATGCCTACCTTTCTGGGTGCCTGACCCCGGTCGATCAACCCGTCCTCTTAAAAATAATGTCACTTTTGGCTCGTTTGCGCGCTATGGCCAAATTTGGACGTAATTTGAAATGAAATTGACTCACAAAAGTGACGTACTGTTCCGTTTTCTGTTTGAGTTGTCCGGCTTACTCGGCAAGCTTAGAAGAAGCAACTTTCCATTAACGTTTTTCATACCTTTTGAAACTTTATGAGAATTTCCTGCCCACCTAACCTATCAGAGGACCCTTAACTTACTGTTGTTGAAAAAAAAATCCCAAATTTATTTCATTTTCAAATTACATCCATATTCGGCCATACGGGCAAACGGCCAAAAGCGACGTTCTTTTTAAGAGGACGGGTTGGGTCAATGGCAGATAAGAAAAACCCCAACCACTAGGGGGTTTTCCAGTGCCATTGCTCCTTGAAACCTCTCTGAAGGGGCCAGGTTCTGGCGCTGGTCCCTGGTAGGTCTGAACTCCTTAGCTAATGTCCAGGTCTAATATAACATACATTAGCCCGATAAGCTCCAGGGAGCTGTAGGGGCTCCCCACAGAAAAAGATGAAAACAGAAAAACAATCACTGCCTTATGTTATAATGGAAAGGGACTCTCCTTCCAAACACTAACACCTCTCCTCCTCCTCGCAATCTTCCATATGCAACAAGAGTCATCAATAAAGGTAAGCAATAACTTGTACATACTGTACTTTAGTACTAAGGATTTGGGTGAATTAGGTATAAAATTTACTTTGAAGTTAATTTTTTGGGGAGTGTGGAACGGATTAATTCAATTCCCATTATTTCTTATGGGAAAATTAGTTTCGACTTACGATATATCTCTAGGAATGGATTATCATCGTACGTGGAGGCCCCACTGTACTGAACAATTTGGTGGATGTTGATTCGGAAAATGTCTTCAAAATGTCAAATTTAACACAAACAAGGAGCAACAGTTTCAAGCTCAACAAGCCACAATGTAGGACTGAGAAAAGATGCTTTTTTACCCACAAGGTTATAAACCCATGGAACAACCTACCCATCAAAGCTGTAAATGCCATGACTGTTGAATTTCAAAATCCAACTGGAAAAGATTATCAAGGCAAATGGGGGGACTTTGACAAGCCACCCGCTTCCTGTCCTAGTCGAGGCCACTTGTGTTAGTGGCCCACAGGTAAATTCAGGGGTCACCATCCTGGGACCTCAGGTGTCACCATCCTGGGACCTCAGGTGTCACCATCCTGGGACCTCAGGTGTCACCATCCTGGGACCTCAGGTGTCACCATCCTGGGACCTCAGGTGTCACCATCCTGGGACCTCAGGTGTCACCATCCTGGGACCTCAGGTGTCACCATCCTGGGACCTCAGGTGTCACCATCCTGGGACCTCAGGTGTCACCATCCTGGGACCTCAGGTGTCACCATCCTGGGACCTCAGGTGTCACCATCCTGGGACCTCAGGTGTCACCATCCTGGGGCCTCAGGTGTCACCATCCTGGGGCCTCAGGTGTTACTGAATTAGTTTTAAAAATTTAACTAGTTCAGAGTTTTTCTCTTATGGTCATATACCTCCTCTATACAATTTCGCATATATCATATAGTCATATGAAAACTACAAAATAAATGTGCAGTCAGTAATATTTGACTTACCTTAAGAAATCTTTGAACAGCATTATGAGCGCTGGGGCACTGTACTTGTCGTGTATCGTGCAAGACTTCAACAACTGTTGCTCCAGCATCTTCAGCATTTTGCACCAATTCCTGCAGTGGTACAAGATTGTTCGTAGTTATTTTAAATCTGAATTTATATTTAAAATTCCTTGTAAAAGGGTATTACTATTATTCAGTGAAGTTTAAACCATTTTAAACTGTTAATGACCTTTTATTTCATTTTTGCCAATAATGTGTATTACTGTACAGTATTACAAAAAATTATTACTTTTCATACAATTCAAAAGTTTTGCAATACTGTATGTATTATATATTTAAGCCACTAAGAACACACATATTAATTTAGGCACAGTATCCTTTAAAAGTATTAACCGTAAAGTACCCCTTCATGAAATATATGTAGTAAGGGTAAACTAATTTACAGGCAGCTGTGTGTAATTACCTAAGTATTCACCTAGTTGTATTCACCTAGTTGTATTTGCAGGGGTTGAGCTTTGCTCTTTCGGCCCGCCTCTCAACTTCCAATCAACTGTTTACTAACTACTTATTTTTTCACCCCAGGAAGCAGCCCATGACAGCCCATGACTAACTCCCAGGTACCTATTTACTGCTAGGTAACAGGGGCATTCAGGGCGAAAGGAACTTTGCCCATTTGTTTCTGCCGAGTGCGGGAATCGAACCCGCGCCACAGAATTACGAGTCCTGTGCGCTATCCACCAGGCTACCTGGCCCCTAAGAGTAATTACCTAAGTGTAGTTACAGGATGAGAGCTACGCTCGTGGTGTCCCATCTCCCCAGCACTCTTTGTCATATAACGCTTTGAAACTACTGACGGTTTTGGCCTCCACCACCTTCTCACCTAACTTGTTCCAACCATCTACCACTCTGTTTACAAAAGGGAATTTTCTTATATTTCTCCGACAGCTTTGTTTCGTGAGTTTAAATCTATGACCACTTGTTCTTGAAGTTCCGGGTCTCAGGTCTCAGGAATTCTTCCCTATCAATTTTCTCGATTCCTGTTACTATTTTGTATGTGTGTGTGTGTAATTACCTAAGTGTAGTTACAGGATGAAAACTACGCTCGTGGTGTCCCGTCTTCCCAGCACTCTTTGTCATATAATGCTTTGAAACTACTGACGGTCTTGGCCTCCACCACCTTCTCACCTAACTTGTTCCAACCGTCTACCACTCTGTTTGCGAAAGTGAATTTTCTTATATTTCTTCAACATCTTTATTTGTAATTACCTAAGTGTAGTTACAGGATGAGAGCTACACTCATGTTGTCCCGTCTTCCCAGCACTCTTTGTCATATAATGCTTTGAAACTACTGACGGTTTTGGCCTCCACCACCTTCTCACCTAACTTGTTCCAACCATCTACCACTCTGTTTGCAAAAGTGAATTTACTTATATTTCTTTGGCACCTTTGTTTAGTTAGTTTAAATCTATACCTCTTGTTCTTGAGGTTCCAGGTCTCAGGAAATCTTCCATACAAGGAAAAGTTCTTTAAAAGAAAATGCCATACAGGTATTTTTGTTCAAACAAAACAATACCTGTATTGTTTTGTATGTATCAAAACAATACCCATATCAAAACAATACCTTGAACAAAAATACCTGTATAATACATAAAACCCAAGATGCAAGAAGATTACAAATTTTGAAGCAATTCACATAAGAATAGAACAACCTACTATGAACACCCAAATCACGCAACTATTTACTCTACCCACCATGAGAGTAAGGACAAGACCAGAACATAACGATGCCAACACAGAAGATACTGTTCAACATTACACCTGATTAATCTTTGTATGTAGATAATAGCTGCCTCGTATGGGCCCAAAGGCCTTCCGCAGCTACCTCTATTCTTATGTTCTTATGTTTCACCCCCCATTTATCCCTTATGTATCCCCCATGTTTTCACCTTTATTGTCTTATCACCTAAACCAGTGCGGGTATAAATCAACCAGTTCTGAAAATTCTTTTCACTTGAGAATGAACCATGGAGGTTCGAAACGTGCAAATTGTATGAATAAGTGTAATACATTCTATAGTAATTCACTTCTTTTCTTCACCTTGAAATTACGAAAACGAGTTTTGGAGAACTCCTCTTTCAGCTAAGCCCTGATGCTAAGAAAATAGTTAGAGGGATAGAAGCCCTAAATCAGAAGATAGTAAATACAGAATATGCAGTCATATTCAATGAGACACATATATATATATTATATATATATATATATATATTATATATATATAATATATATATATATATATATATATATATATATATATATATATATATATATATATATATATATATATATATATATATAATATATATATATATATATATATATATATATATATATATATATATATATATATATATACAGAGCACCACTTGGTTTCCGAACCCCTTGGGGACGAGACCCGTCGGTTAACATGTAAGTTCGTATACGAGAAATAGAGGGGAAAAATAAACTAGAAATGTAAAAAGAAATTTTTCCGAAAAATTTATGAAAAAAACTCTAGGGAAAAAAAATCGTCAGGTTCATGGCGTAAATGCGACCGTGTTTTGTTTGTACTCATCAATAAGTGAAGTCCTGATCCGCTTTATAAAAGTCCTTAATTGTTCCTAACTGATTATTAAGACGTCTGGCAAACATCCTCTGGATGTTTCCTGCCAGCCTGCAGGCACATCCTGCCTAAAATATACGATGATGTACTGTACATTTAAGAAACAAATCTGGGTCACAGGTCTGTGGAGTGTGGTTAGGCTTACGGAGTCAGCCGGTCCCTCCCCCACCACCGACACACCTCCCCCTCTCCCCCCACCACCGACACACCTCCCCGTCTCCCCCACCACCGACACACCTCCCCCTATCCCCCCACCACCGACACACCTCCCCCTCTCCCCCCACCACCGACACACCACCCCCACCCCCCCACCCCAAACCCATACACACACACACACACTCTCAAAGGTCACGTGGTTCACAGTTCACTTCAACACCCATATATCGCTTCCTGCCTGCCTGCCTCCTTCCCACCCTGCCAGCCTGCTTCCTTCCCAGCCTGCCTCCTTCCCAGCCTGCCAGCCTGCCTCCTTCCCAGCCTGCCAGCCTGCCTCCTTCCCAGCCTGCCAGCCTGCCTCCTTCCCAGCCTGCCAGCCTGCCAGCCAGCCTGCCAGCCAGCCTGCCTGCCTGCCAGCCTGCTTCCTTCCCAGCCTGCCTCCTTCCCAGCCTGCTTCCTTCCCAGCCTGCCTCCTTCCCAGCCTGCCTTCTTCCCAGCCTGCCTCCTTCCCAGCCTGCCAGCCTGCCAGCCAGCCTGCCTGCCAGCCTGCTTCCTTCCCAGCCTGCCTCCTTCCCAGCCTGCCTCCTTCCCAGCCTGCCAGCCTGCCTCCTTCCCAGCCTGCCTCCTTCCCAGCCTGCCAGCCTGCCTCCTCCCAGCCTGCCAGCCAGCCTGCCAGCCAGCCTGCCTGCCAGCCTGCCTGCCTGCCAGCCTGCTTCCTTTCCAGCCAGCCTGCCTCCCCCCCTGCCATCATGCTAACGGGTAGTGTGTGTTAGGCTTATCTTCGGGAATGAGCCGGTCTCACCCCTACCACCAACAAACCACCCGCCCCCCTACATCCCATCTCTCAAGGTCACGCGGTTCAACTGCGTGACTACCACTCACTCCCTGCCTGCAAGCTAGCCTGCCTGCCTGCAAGCTAGCCTGCCTGCCTGCCTGCCTGCAAGCTAGCCTGCCTGCCTGCCTGCCTGCCTGTGCCTGCCAGCCTGCCTTTCCCTCCCTAATTCTCACTACTTCCATCCCTTCCTGCCTACCTCCTAGCATCTCTCCCTACCTCCCCCTCCCTCTTAGCATCTCTCCCTACCTCCTAACATCTCTCCCTACCTCCCCCTCCCTCCTAGCATCTCTCTCCCCCCCTCTCTCACTGATTCTCCCCCCTCCCCCTCATTCATACTGCCTCCCACCTAAGTTCCATCGTCCATCCACCCACCAGTCAGCCATCACTGACGCAATGGGTGCATTTGGAGCCAACATGGTGCACAGATGTTTCTTGATTGTGCAGATATGTAAAACAAAAGCACAGAATGAACATTCCAGCCTTATGGCAATTCAAAATAATAGGTATATATATATATATATATATTATATATATATATAATATATATATTATATATATATATATATAGTATAGTATATTTTGGTAGCAGTCTTTCTTGTAAACATATATTATTAAATATGACCGAAAAAGTAAGATTAATAATTCTAACACGAATTTTCTCAATATTTCTTATGTTTCTTTTCACTGTTGATGGTAATTGAAAAATCAATTCTCCAAAATTCATTTTTATTTCTAGTCTGACGCGACACTTGAACGCGTTTCGTTTCGTAATAACTTATTACATTTTCAAAGACTTTTAGTTTACACACACACAACTATAACCTGCAAACACTAAACAGAGTTCTTACTATACTATGATTTAAACAGCTTTCATTTTATTTTATACCCGCATTTATAGTGAGGTGATATGTTACAACAGTTTTGGATGAGGTGAACAAAACTTTCAACACAGGACAGAACATGAAACAATGGGTATTAATTGGGTAAATTGAAGGTAAGAATGGAAGTAACTGCAGAGGGCCTATTGGCCCATATTTCTTGATGCTTCTATATTGGAGCGGAGTCTTGAAGTGGGTAGAATATAGTTGTGCATTAATTGGCTGTTGATTGCTGGTGTTGACTTCTTGATGTGTAGTGCCTCGCAGATGTCAAGCCGTCTGCTATCGCTGTATCTATCGATGATTTCTGTGTTGTTTGCTAAGATTTCTCTGGTGATGGTCTGGTTGTGGGAAGAGATTATATGTTCCTTAATGGAGCCCCTGTTGCTTATGCATCGTTAATCACCTGGAAAGAGATGTTGTTGTCTTGCCTATATACTGAGTTCTTTGAGGCTTACAGTCCCCAAGTGGGCATTTGAAGGCATAGACGACGTTGGTCTCTTTTAAAGCGTTCTGCTTTGTGTTTGGAGAGTTTCTCATGAGTAGGCTGGCAGTTTTTTTGGTTTTATAGTAAATCATCAGT